CAGTAGAAAAAAATCTATTTAAATTGAATTTTCTGTGTTTGATATCTTCATACCATGACTCTAAGTTTAAAAAAGGTATCTGGTGGGGGGGGGGCAATGCCCTCCAGACCCTCTTAGAAAACTTCTCGCATTTGGCCCTCAACAGTGATACATTGTACTACTAAAAAAAACTGAGAACATTCAAATATTACTGATAGACTAACTTTAGATAAACACCTCTGCGTTATAGATGAGCATCACCACACAAGTTGGAGACTGTTCTTAGTGGAAGAACGGTAGAAGATGCCTTGAAATGAAATTTAGCTCAAGTTCAAGATAGGTGATACGCCAAATTTAATCACTGGAAAGCATTTTCGCAAATATTAGCATTAATTTCATTACATTAAAAATGCTTTTAACCCAAGTCTAATAGTAAAAATAAGTACATTCAGCTACATACTAGTACCTCGGACAGTTTCGAAAAGTACATGTTCGCTAAAGCTTGCCGACACATTTTTTTAAAATCAATGGACTTGTGTACTCCCACAATACTTGTGACACAGTAAAACCTGTCTAAACCGAACCGATTACAGTTAGTTGAAGTAGAGACATATTAAAAAACAAGAGATTGGAAACTCTGAATATTATACAATAGAAAATTGAAGAGGTTTCGGTCTGGAACATTTTATGACAAAATGAAGTTTTCATATTAACATGACAATATTTTGAAACTTACTAAATAACAAAGTATTGAGGGGCATGTGTTGATTTTTGATACTTCTTTTACAACTTGTGTGATCGGTATATTTAGATATCTTGTTAAGTTTTTGAAAAATTAAGGAATATTTCTGAAAACTTAACTACTTTCTTTCTTTATATATGACTCTTATACATGTTATATTCTTATCAAAGCAAGTGGCTGCGATATTTCTCGAAGATTTCACAAAGTTTCTTATCTCTAGTATTATATGTCTCTGGTTGAAGTACTTTTTAATTTGGCAAATTGTAAGACCAATGACTTAATATTCAGGACACAATTAATGATTTTCAGTTCAAACACAAACATTTAAATATTTGTTCATTATTGGCCAAATTCTTTTAATGCATGTAAAAGTCACAGTTACATAAGTTTTCATTTAAAGCATTACCGAAGAATTTCATTTAGCTGAACAATGTAGCCAACCTTTAGCTATATATAAAAAATAAAGATAAAACAGGGAATGGCAATAATTCGATATAAAACATCAAACAGCACCAACACCACCAATCAAGCCATCAAAATAGAGACATACAGCGACAACACAAAAATGAAAATGTACAGAAGGTAGAGAGAAGTCCCGACTTGGTACAGGCAAAACTTGGCAGAGTGGTGGGGTTGAACCATGTTTATGGGTACACTAACCTTGCCCCTCAATCTACTCGACTTCCTATCAATATTCGAAAGACGCGCAGCAAAAAGACTTGCACAATACAATTGCCAACTTAGCGTCCATATAAGTTAGAAAAATTGGTTATAATAAATACTAAAATAGTTAGAGGATATACAGATCTGTACATTGTACATGTACTACCTCTACACAAAATGATACAGTTACATATAACCAATATACCACTTTAAAGCTTGAAGTTGTTGAAAAGTCATGGGGTTTTATAAGATTAAGTATATAAAGAAGTTATGCAGTTATCCATTTACGTTCAAGATATGAAGGCAATTTAGTAAATTACAAATAAGTTTTAATAACCAGTTTACTTATTTCTTTCAATGACTTCCAAACATTCAAGATAATAATCTATTCCAAAGTTGGTATTGCTTCTTATCAATTGTCGAGTTAAATCCAGCCTGCATTGATCACTTATCATGTGTGCAAGGGGTCCAACTATTGGTCTCTCGCCATCTTCTACATCATTTTGATCCACATAGCCTTCAATTCCAATTCCATTTGTCAGTTTTAGTGGGTCTAGATAACCTTCATCTTCCATGTAATAAAATAAGTTGTAAAAGTAAATTAGCACACCTTCATACACATCTCTCCATAGTCTCTCAATCCGTTGATTATGAGTGCTTTTTCCCGTTACCATACTGTTTGGGCCTTTTTGAATCAACATGTAGTTTGCCACAGAAACATTTTCCAATCCTTTGTCAGACCTAACTTTATTGGGTATCCCATACTTTGCAACACCAGAGAAGAAACAATCCAAAACTGTTCTTGATGTGTTATTGTCGGTACATTTTAAAAATGTTATCAATCGACTAAACCCGTCAATGCCACCTACAATAACAAATCTCCACCGGACAAGTTTATGATTTGTATCTATGTGCCATAGGTGATTTGGACCCATTACATTGTAAACACGCCTATGAAGCCTACCAGTACGTCTCGCCTGTACACCGGCGGTATCTTATCGATGCATACACTCCCTCAGTCTCCACCTCTGTACTCTTATGCCTTTTAATAGAAGCATCTGTTGCAATAGTGTTTCGTCACACAATGGAAACTCTTTCATTATTTGTCCAAGTGTCAAGTCTAAATCACTGTCATCAATTTGTGTAAAATTCATTTTGCTTAATCCGAACTGTGACATTCTTCGGTAAATGGTGCTTTCAGACACGGACAACAATTTAGAAATGTCGGATATTTTAAATCCATTTTCCAGAACATTTTTTAGAACAGACTTTGGAATATCAAATTTCGGAGGGCCGCATTCAGAGTTTATTTTATTAGGGGCAGACATTCCATATTTTACACATTCAGTTCTTAACTTCGTCATATCTGCCCTACTAGATACACCTAATATTTCCATTTCATGTGTCGAAAGCCTACATACATGTACAATGTCTAGAGTGATTTTCTCTCTCTCAAAGTTTGGAATTGCTTGCTGCAAGTTTAATTTCTGTAAAACGTTTAACATTTTAGTATTCACAGCCATGGCCGCCATGTTGGTTCGGTGTGATTCAAATACACGCCACGCTTCCGGTTAATCACGGGAACCACCATCACATAATCAATCAAAGTACTGAAGTACTGAACATCGGATGACCACAAGTTCTTGAGGATGGTCAAAAGCACTTGTCTCAGAAAAAAACAACATATCTCTTTACCTGAAACTGAGGTTAATGTACAGAGATATATTTTTTTCTGAGACAAGTTCGTACGTGGATGATGAATAAATGACAGGAAATTCAACTTCACCGTAATAACTATTATATTGTAGTGATACAAATCAGTATACATGGTGGACGCTTTTCTGTAAAAATTCGATTTTTCTAAGATTGGATACGAGTAGGCATTCATATTTTCCCGCAAAAACAATTACAGAGTTACCGGTCCTCGCAAAAAGTTCTCTGAGATATTCTTCCGCATGCTTTAACACAATTTTTCGGTACGTCTGCATTGATATTATCAATGATTTTTTACTTATATATATATATCTAACTACAAAACATTTTCATATTATTAATTTATTTTGTAAACAAAAATATTTTTATCAGTATTCATTGAAGAGATGTATTTATATCAAACGATAAGGAATGTTATTTTGCATTCGTTTATGTGCGCATATTTATCATGTTTATAGATCGGTTACAAACCCAAAACTAATTTACATAATGGAAATCTAGGCGATAGCAATACATCTGAATGACCCCAAGGTCATCGCGATGTAAAAAGCACCTTATTATAATAAAAAAGCACCATCGTATAATAGAAAAGCACATTCGTATAATGCAAAAGCACCATCGTATAATACAAAAGCACCATCGTATAATAGAAAAGCAATTTCGTATAATAGAAAACCACCTTCGTATAATAGAAAACCACCATCGTATAATAGAAAACCACCTTCGTATAATAGAAAATCACCTTCGTATAATAGAAAACCACCTTCGTATAATAGAAAAGCACCATCGTATAATAGAAAAGCACCTTCGTATAATAGAAAACTACCTTCGTATAATAGAAAATCACCATCGTATAATAGAAAAGCACCTTCGTATAATAGAAAAGCAATAAAAAAGACATATAAGACAGCTATGGCGTATATGGAAATAATTCTGATTGTCAACGATAAAATAAATACAAGGAACATTATTATTTATGGGTGAGTCTAAGTAACCACCATGGCATCCTCGAGGATGCCTGATGCAGAGAAGCTAGATCTATATTTTGCCTTCATCAATCAGATCACAAACAGATATTAACATATCAACATTCTCTACATTAGGTAGCCAGATTAGTTTTTGGTTAAAGTAAGAACAGAGTGAGTTAATCATGGAGTACATGCAGTTTCTCATAGTTATAGATGATGTGCATGAATTTTTTTTTTCATTATCAATTTCATTTGAGGTGCACTTGAGACATACTCTGTTTTGTTGAGAATTACCATGATATCTACATTGTTTAATTCTAAGTTCATGTGACGAAATACGCAATCGAGAGAAATTTCTCCCCCGCTTAGGGGATCGCAATAAAACAAGATATCTTTCAAGACCAAAATTTGTCTTTTTGCAAGAGGGGGTCCACCATTAGGTATACAATTATTGATTTTGCTCAAAACAGATAACAGTTAATTTAAATTATCTTAAATTAGAAAACAGAAAACTGAATTCAAAAATAATATAAAAAGGGGTAATTTTTTTCATAATAACAGTTAACAACAATGTCAATTTTAAGAAAACAGATAACAGCTAATAAGTCAATAACAATTATTAACAGAACAAATATTTTCAATACAACAGTTCACAAAAGTTTTAAAATGCCTAAACACCTTAACAGAAAAGATCTTGCCCTCCTATTACATATAAATCTTGTAAGAGGATTTTGAGAGGTTGCTGGGAATAGTTCTGTACAAAATATAAATTTTCGCGCGATTAAAAATTAAGAGAGCCTCGCATAATGTAAACTGCCAATATTCCATCGGACAAAAAAAAAACTCCTCCCATATTCAGAATTATCGAATGATTGTCCTCGATTTAAGTTCACTGGAACCTCTCGAGTAGATTATCTGTCTGGTTACCTGAAACTACACCGATAATATATACAAGTTGTCAAATGTACCATATATACGTGTTTGTGGTTTGTGTAATACGCATAGGTAGTGGCACTTTGTTATTGAATATTTATTTTTAGAACGTAACTGAAAAACCTAGAGAAGTTCCATTTAGCGGGAAAATTATGTCTAAGCATCAAGCCATCAATTGATTTATTTAGATATTGGATAGTTTAATTTCTTTAAGAGGTAAGTCAGTATTTCTGCAAAGATTAAAACCCTGAGCAGGTCCTACTAAAATGTCATTCTTCCCTGACATTATAAAGACGTATAAATTACAACAGTATTCAGTTCAAATTATGTTTCCCCGTATGCATATCCTCGAGTAGTACCTTGAAACACTTCCTCAAAATACGTGAAGTCTTATATTGTATATAATCACAAATTTGTTATTTTCATTGCACTAAATAATTACATTGTGTTTAAATTGGGGTAAAATTTTGTAAATAGGCCACGTATGCTGACAATACAATAATTATGTGATCATCGGATGTCGATGGATCGAATATTGTATACCAAAAGAAGAAAGTCGTTCATGCAGATATATCTTCTGTCGTTTCATATAAAATTCATTTAAAATTTAATGTCATATATAATTGCTATGATTAGTAAAAAGTCAACTAGGACCTATAATATATTGAAACAATTGGTATAAACATAGGAAGAAACTGAGGAAGAAAGAAGCCATTCTGTCATATTACATGTAAAACTATTTATAATGGTAGTTTCCGGAAAATCAACAGATTAACCTAGTTAAGATAATTTGATTGGATTGAGAACATCAGACAATATGTATATAGTTTAACAATCAATATTACTTGTATTTAAAAATTAATAAAGCTGTGTTTAAACATCATTTTATGTTTTATAAGAAACATTTGAGTTGGCTTGTCATTATTTTCGATTTCAGAAATTCAGAATTCTGAGAAACGAAAATAAAAGTACTGGCATTGGTTTTGACTACGTTTTAGGAGTGTTTATTTTCTGCAAGTCAACCAACCATGATGACCTATGACAAAACTTAAAAATACAATTATTACATGACTTTTACGCTTCATTGATTATATGTCTTGTGTTAAGAAACTGACTTGTTTTTATTGACTTTTTACCAACTAAATTTGAATATCCTTGAATCTACTTAATTTTCACTAACTTTATTTAATATCTAAAGGGCTTATCAACACGTGCATGTGAATGAAAGAGAACGGTTATCACGTGCACATCTCTCGAAAATAAGAACCTGTTTGAAATCTCCACATTATAATACTAAAATTAGAAATAAGGGCATACCCTTGTAAGTCAGGTATTGGAGAAGCTGTGTAAACATTGATGATCAAAACGTTTTCAAATAGATTTCAAGATAGCATATAAGTTCGTCCCGCTCTTCAGCAAGTATGCCTATAAAAACCATACGGCTATTCACCAGCGAAAACAAATCTTGTTCGTGAAATTTGTTTAGGAAAAGGAAATCACTCTTCCAGACAGACTGTACGTTACAGATTTATACATTATTAATAAAATAATTAAAATTTTCCTTCAGTTTCAGATTGGAATAAAAAAGATGCCGAGAACGTACGTGAATAATTCAATGAATAGAAGTTTGGGTAGAGTCGGGATGGCCCACGGCAGCATGCCTGTATCCCGTTCAGGTGGCGGTGGTGGCAGTAGTTACAGTGGCGGCGGTGGTGGTAGTTATGGTGGCGGCGGCAGTAGTTACAGTGGCGGTGGTAGCAGTTACAGTAGCGGTAGCAGTTATGGAGGAGGAAATACAAAGACATATGTAGACAACTCTTCCAATCGAAGTTTAGGTCGGGTCGGAATGCCACATGGTAGCATGCCAGTATCTCGTTCCAGTGGGAGTGGAAATTATAGTTCAGGTGATACTAGTTCCAAAACATATGTAGATAACGCGTCTAACCGTAGTTTAGGTCGAGTAGGAATGCCACATGGTAGCATGGTTGTTTCAAGAAGTGGCTCAAGTAATAATTCGAGTCAAGCATCTATCAGTGGAACCAAGTCATATGTCGATAACTCATACAACAGAAGCATAGGACGAGTTGGATTGGAACATGGTACTGCTGTGGTATCGGGAAAAAGTCCTATGAGTTACCGCGAAAACGTATTCAACGATAGTGGTATTGGGGCCTCGTTCCATGTATCTCCGTCACCATCATCGGCCGCCAAAGTCTATAAAGATAATCCTTTCAATCGTCGCCTCGGGCGAGTTGGTTTACCGCACGGTGCTGCTGTACATTCAAGAAACTCAACTTCACAAGCATCTCCAGCAACAAAGAAGTACGTTGATAACGCTCTCAACAGGTCAAAAGGGAGAGTTGGAAAGCCTCTGGGATCTATGCCTATTTCCAGAAAGAGTACGATTACTTCTGGAGCTTCGGATATATACAGAAATTATATGAGGGATCCAGTAAGTAAATTATGGATTTGTTGTAATTTCGTTTTGGAAATATCGTCTGCGCTTGTTTGAATTTTGTGAAGGGATCACGACATTCATGCCTCGTTCACACGTACATTTAATTCGAATTGAATTCGAATCGAATGCGAATCGAATTCGCTAATCGCGTTCACGCACTCTTCTTTTTTAATTCGAAATTAGAAATGCGTTTTTGTTAGTACGAATTAAAAGTTAACGTCGTTCGGACAGTAAAGCGAATTTGCCTCGCAGTGCAATTCGAATTAGAATTTGCGTTTGGACGTAAAACGTTTCGAATGCGAATTAAACTAATTCGAATTAGTTAATGCGAATCGAATTCGAATTACATGTGAACGCAGCATTAGTGTAATCAAGAGTTTTAAATAAAATGTATATCAGCTATAGTCGACAGTTCTGGACACGGTGAAATAAAAAAAAATCTTGTTTTAATTGTGTTAACAAATCCTTACGTGAAATCAGATAAAAACTACCAATTTGATATTATAGTGTTTCCAGCTTCCTCCGTAACATGGTACATAGCTTCCTATTCACATTAACTTAGTAGGCAGTAAGTACCATTTACTGTATCGTTGTTGTGTACTGATGTTTGCACTTTTCAGAATGAGATACTGTTATATAATTTTGTATGTATTTGTCTTTTTGTCGTCTTTCGTTTTTTGCCAGGCGTTGTCAGTTTCTCGCGACTTGTGCGTTTTGAGTGTCCCCTTGGTATTATCATATACATTTTTGTATGTATTTGTCTTTTTGTCTTCCTTCGTTTTTTTGCCAATGCGTTGTCGGGTTCTTACGACTTTCGAGTGTCCCTTGGTACCTTCCACCACTTATTTTACGTTTTTTTCTATGATTGTAAACATTGTATGAGAGGATTTTCACACTAGTGTACTGTAAAGGAATATAACGATTGAATTATATTTGGAATTTTATTTTGCAGGTAAGAGAAATCGATTTCTCAAGAATGGGGATAGACGAAGAACAGCAATATGAAGCTTGTGATGTGGCCCTCAGTCTTATACATAGAATGGAGGAGGTGATGAGATGGCAAAAAGAAACTAGTACGACACGTGAACCGCACACTTCCGATCGGGTGCTGCAGAACTACAGGGGAACTAAAATTGATTTTAGCGACATTGAAATTATGCAGAAAATCGGATCCGGTGGATTTGGTGACGTTCATTTTGCTAAGTGGAAAGGAACCGTTGTTGCTGCCAAAAAACTTCGTGTTCAGAGAGTGTCAAGGCGTAGGTTGAAGGAATTTACAGATGAAATTTTCCTTCTCTGTGAATTAGAGCATCCCAATATTGTAAAGTTCATCGGTGCTTCAGTCGTCACTCCAAATTTGTGCATTGTGATGGAATATATGCAGATGAGTCTGTTCGATGCACTGCATATCAAAGATGACGTGGAGTTTTCAGAGAGAGAGAAGATTGAAATAATTCAGCACACTGCCCTTGGTCTAGAATACTTGCATGATGAAAATATTGCCCATTGCGATATGAAATCTCAGAATGTTTTACTTGATTATGTTGCTGGTGAAACACTTGTTGCTAAGATAACAGACTTTGGACTTAGTATGATGAAGAACGAAACCGAAACGTCAACGTCTGCAGGTGGGGATTACGTACGCAACATCGGAACCCCTCGATACTCATCCCCAGAGAATTTGAGAGGTGAATATCTTCACCTTCGGGACTTAATGATGTCTGATATGTATTCATACTCCTTAATTGTTTTCGAAGTTTGTTGTGAAGAAGAGCCGTTTTACAAGTTAAATTACCCACAGCTGAGAAAACAAGTCGGCGAGTTGGGCCTTACTCCAGAAATACCTCCCGACGTCTCTCTGCATAGTAACGTACTTAGTCTATTGAATAAATGTTGGGACCGTGAGCCGAGACGTCGTCCAACTGCCAAACGCTTTGCTGAATATGCATTACAGTTTGATGCCATTTATCAAATTAATTGAAAGAGGACATGAAAATGCCAAGATTTGAGTTAAGACATTCATAAACTTATTATATTAACTTTACTAATATCCATAGTGGGATTTGATATTGACAAAAAGTTACGAGAACTGGATTTAATATTTTATGTAGTTAGCTGTTACATTTATATAGTGCTATTTTTGTTGCTTAAAAGTAGTATGTGACTGAAATGAATCGAAATGTTTTTGTTAGTGATTACAATTATCACGAATATTTTTGTAAAACGAATATGTTTTTTTTTTTGTTCGTATATACCAAACACTTCATTTCAATGAGGCCAAAAAAAATAATACATGTGTTTCCGCTAACCCTACCTACCCCAATTTTTAGTGCCTACCCTAACACATTTATGCCATTTTGGAACAAGCACTGTTAAAGTCAGAATGATTCCCTAGTAGTAACCAACTAAAAAATGCTTGCAAAATAAAATTAAATAAATTGCCTACGTACCTACCCTATTTTTTGTTTGGACGTTAGCGGAAACACATGTATTATTTTTTTTTGGCCTGATGAGATATGTTTTGTACACTGTTGCTCAGTATTGCAACGATCATTGAACCTCCTTCATATAACTTAAAAAGTCGAACATTTATTCATAATAGTGAAGATGCTTTTACATCCATGAAATACCTTTTAATTTCTCACCAGGAAATACCTGTTCTGGTTTTGGGGGATTTTCTGTGAAAGACATCTATTTTGCATACTAAGCCAGTAAGGCCATTTAATTGCGTAATACAATGATAATGAGTTTGTACACTGTATATATTAGTCTCTCTTTCCCCCCTCTCTCATGCTGCATAATAAAACCTGATGTCATGTATTGTTTTAGTTTGTTCATTCGTCTGTCCTCACAATAGATATTGAAATCTTGTAATGTATCCTGACTATCGTGACTGTGGTACATTTTTTGGGATCCAAACGAATTGTGCGGGTTTTTTTTTTTTTTTGTCTTACAACACAATATGTACTTTGCCGTATATATACTAGTGAAAGGGTGACATGTCATGACTGTTATTTAATTAGTATTGCTTATGTAGGACTATAAACTGTTATTTAATTATTATTGCTTATGTAGGACTATAAGTAAATAAACACCGACAACTAAACATCACCACACACACAGCACGTTGATCGCCACACACATAGCACGTTGGCAAAAACCATCGGATACCCAGTTAAAAAATATCATAATGATAGTAAACCACACAGAAGCCATTTCCAAAAAAAGGAAATAAAATATTAAAGTACGTAAGTAAAAATGTGTTTATTCGCTAAAAATTAAAGAAATACAATATTAAATATTTTTTCGTTAAAAATTAAACTATTTGATATCATAAAGTGAGTTTATACCGATACAGAGGGTAAAACGGAAACGGCTGGTTTGTTTGGTCTGGTTTTTCTTTCCGGTTCTATTCTTTTTTCGTTTTTAGACTTGGGGATATTTTTCTCTGCTGCTTGATTTTCTCTCTTCAGTTTATTTTCTATTTTTCTTATTTTTTCTTTTAGTCTTGCCTCTTTTCTAGCTATTACTTCTTGTCTTCTTTTTGCTGACTCCTTTGCCATTTTTCCTAAATACAACAATACATGTTTATCTTGTTATGATTGCTTATGCAGATATTTACTATTTTTTTTTTATTTCAATAGAATAGCCGGTCAAAATACATAGATGACATAATCCGTGTAATTCTTCGCTACATGCGTGGCAACCATACGCATGAATCAGCTTTCCATATCAGATGACACTGGTGATAAAAAAAAATATATTCCAAAAATCGTGTTTGCAACTTTTGGCCGATAATTCTGTCCACAATATAAAAAAAATCCCTAGTCGTTTGATTGCATGAGTTGCTGTTGATTGTTTTTCACGCTTTTGTTTTTTGTGTTTGTGTTTGTTTGTTTTATTGTTTTGGGTTATTTTTGCAATTAGTTTGTATGTTTCATCTGTTTTTGAATATCTTTGGCTCCTAAAAATCCGCATACAACATACGTTTAAATTGATTATGCGAAACTTTTATAATTACCTTTATCTGCAAGCGCGCCAATACGTCGAATTTCGACCATTAATCCCTTATCTTCTTTAGTATATATATCGTTCTCTAAAATAGAAAAAAAATAATAATATTGTTCAAAATTCGTTTTCTAGAAAAGTACAACATTTTCGTGTTTCACTATAAAGAAACCAGATGCATATAAGAATAGAAAATACAGAAGATTTTAATAACTATTTTCGACCTGTATTTCAAATTAGTGCCTTCGTGATCATATAACTATATGATGCGTAGTGAAGATCCCGGGGTTCAATACACAGTGTGCCACAAAATTCATCAAATTTAACCTTCCAGTTAATTTCCAAATTCAACTTTCCAGTTAATTTCCAAATTCACTTACTTGCAATGATCTTGCCTTCCCACATTCTAACAAAATTTTAATCTGAAATATACCTTTTGAAGTGGTAGCTCTTGATTTTCCAGTGGGTCTTCCTCTTGTTAAACCAGTAGAACCAGGAAGGGCAGGAAGTCGCCTTGGCTTTTCATTTAGCTTGTCACTTTCTGGTAATGTCTCTACAAAAAATCTAACTCCGCCAGAACGTTCGGACACAATCCCAATTCTTTGTAACTCTTGTATAATTTCAGATGATGGACGTGTTTCAAATCTGTGTGTTATGCTGTGCTGAGAATTTGTTACCACCCCTATCTTATTTTTACGGAAGCACCCAGAGCAATCCAATTTTGCAAATGTAGCTCCCATTTTTCCTTTTGGTTTATAGTGTGACTGTCAAGCGGATCTCGTACTAGGGTTTCCAAGGCGCAGTTGTGACGTTTAAGGTCATTGTTTGTGATTTAACGTCATGTTTCAATTCTATTTTGTGCAGTACCGCTATATAGGATTCTTTCATGAGGATTACGTGTAGCTTGATTACAGATATTCGTTTTCAAGCTTCTTGCAATCGGATTGATTATTTAAAATAGTTTTTATCTCATGTAAATGAAAAAAAAATATGAATATTTAAAAAATAACACGTTTTAAATGTGTAGCGTCCAAAGCGCTTCAATAGATTTACCTTTATCAAGAGCTCAAATCTTGTTCAATCACAGTGGTCAGATACATTGACTTAAGTGGGCACAAAAGAACAACCCAAATTCTGGCCGTGCCACCTTTAGAGTTTTTCTCTATAGATATCAAAATGATTCTGGGTCAGCTGTGTATTTTTACTGTCTCAGTGTATTATATTACTATTGACCCGAAACCGTTAATCGAGTATGTCCAAATTTCATAAAATTCCATGAAGGTTTGACAAAGTTATTGATGTCTATAACACTTTAACTAGGATCGCCATGTCTAGCTTTCGCGACAAAAATGTCGCAGGCTCGACAAAAATGATGTTGACGTATGGCTGTTCAACATTCAGTGGCGAATCAAATGCATTCTTAGGACGAGAACATATTAATGTGACATGAATGTTATCCATGCTTTGTACTAGACCGACACTATTTGCCGGGGTTTTACCGTTTTAGTTTTAAGGTAATCATAGACAGGAAGTCATGTCAACTTACCCTGACATATTAATCCGAATCCGAGTAACCAGTCTTTTCTATTACGCCTTTATGTCGCGCGGTTAGCGGAGACACAGCACACATCGCAATATTAAATTCTTTTGTTTAACTCGGCCGGGGTTCTGTATTCAACATGAACAAATTGGTTTGTATGTTTGTATGTTTTTATATTTTCTTTCAAAACAGAAAAAAAACTAATAGAAGTATGCTGTCCCATACACAAGACCAAACAACCCAAGAGAAGGATTAGCACCAAAATAAAATCAACCGTTCTTTATTGTCATGTAAGGACATATGCATATGTGTTTACCATTCTTCCGTCATTGAATTTCCAAAAGCTGTACACCTTTTCATTTCGTATGAAGATTTGCTGTGTAGTACATGTAGAACAATTATATTTGATAAGTTATTAAAGTAACCGGCCTCCTGCATGTTGATTTACTTATAAAACCTTGGATTTATAATATTTCTATACACATGATTAGTATAAACTGCAAACCGTACTGTTCTAGAATTAGTTGGGGTGTTTTAAAGAAAAAAAGAAGCAACACGAGAAATAAATGTGTTAATACATTTTTCAGTATTAACTAACGAACAAAGATCATTCAACGATATATAAGTTATTATCAAACAAGCTTATACCTTTTTCTTTTTCTTTTTATTTACAGTAATTTAAAGCATCACACTTATATTTTCATTAAGGGACAAATTCATTTTTTTTCCCTTAACTATAAATTATCATTCCTTTTAAAAGGCGTTACAATTATTTATTGGAGAATTACGATCTGCAAAGGCATTTTGATATCACACCATGACTCTTTGCATTAAGAGTATCTGATAACATTCTACAATTTTCAATGATTAAGAGATTGCAAAGCATCATTTACTATGGAAAGCCTCAGCTGTCATATATTAGAGATTTACAAAACGTTATGCTGAAGCTTAAAATGTAAAGTTGAGACAGCGTGATGTTGAATCGAGTCATCAAAATGCTAACTCTAAATTACAATATGCTAAGTTGAATCTGCGCAATGTTGACTTGCAATGACAAGTGCTTTAGTCGTGATAGTATAATGATAAGTCACGATGTTGTGATGATATGCCAAACACACGTAACGTTGGGTTTAAAGTACATGATGTGAAGTTGACGTTGCATGATGTTAGCGTGCAGATGGATACTGCTCAGTCATCTACATCGACAGCTATGATAACAAATAAAATGAATAGCTAAAATGTATGGTGCCGACTTGTTATTAATTAATGTTGAGCTGAGATAGTACGATGTTATATCATTGTGATATTACGATTGGTCTATCATGCAATCTGTTGATTTAAAACACCATGATGCACAGTTGAAAGTACATGATGTTAAGTTAAGATAACACGATGCTACACCACTATATTGAAACGAAAGGCTTACCATACAATTTGTTGACTTAAACCAACACGATGCAACGTGTTAAGCTAAGATGCTCACTTGAAACTACAGGACGTACAGTTGAAATTTTGTAATGTTAAGCTACGATAGCACGATGTTATATCATTATAATGTCACAATAGGCTTATTATACAATTTGCTCATTTAAAACTACACAACGTACAGTTGAAAGTACGTGATGTTGAGTTAAGATGGCACGTTGTTGTATCATAATAATATCACGATAGGCTTGCCATACAATATGCTCATTTAAAACTATACGACGTACAGTTGAAAGTACGTGATGTTCAGCTAAGACAGCACGATGTTATATCATTATAATGTCACGATAGGCTTATTACACAATTTTCTCATTTAAAATCACACCACGTACAGCTGAAAGTACGTGATGTTAAGCTAAGATAGCACGTTGTTATATCATTAGAATGTCACGATAGGCTTGCCATACAATATGCTCAGTCAAAACTACACGACGTACAGTTGAAAGTACGTGTTGTTGAGCTCAGATAGCACGATGTTATATCATTATGACGTCACGAGAGGCTTATCATACAATGTGTTGACTTGAAACTACACGATGTAAATTTGAAGAAGTTTGGTCTTGACTTGAAACAGTAAAATGTTAAGTTAAAAAAACAGAACGTAAAGTCAAAATAAAACAATGATAGGATGACATGTACTTGTGCAGAATTGAAGATTTTTGGTGTTGACTTCGAATATAGTACAAATATTAAATAGTTTTATGTTAAATTGAAAGACAAGAACGATGCGTAGAAGTACTGCAATTCTATGGAAAAGAATGAGGGACAAATCCCCAGGATTTTTTCC